CTGGATGAGCTTTAAGGTCCCTTCCAACCCAAACCACTCTGGGATTCAATTCTATGATTCTCCTATCCAGAAATTGTCAGTGAACAGCCTTAGGGGATGAAAATGTGATTTGTCCTTTGCATTCATTCAAAATTTCAGTGTATGGATCATTTGTAAACCCTGTGCTCTGGCTACAGCTTCCACAGGAGTCTGTCTGCACAGGGGACTGGGAGCGGCACATCCAGCCTCCTCAGCACAGCACCCAATGGGGCACCCAAACTCACCAAAGTCCTTTCAAAAACATAGGTCTACATTTCCAGAACACCACCACACTAGGGCAGGTCAAGGGACCCAAATGGGTGCTGGGAGGATGGCCACGGAAATAGATCTGGTGGACAAGAGAGGAGAACAAAAGCTCTGGGACCCTGCAGGTGGGAATGATCCCAAGTAAGAACCCAGGACCACAAAGCCAGAGTAGAGGCTTTGGGCTAAATTAGCAGCTGAGGGAAAGAAAACAAATTCTAAGATGGGAAAAAGACAATGAGCTACATGTAACACTGCAGTTACTGGTCCGTGCTATGCCCAGAGCCAGAGGAATCTCTTTGGATATCCATAAAAACACTTGAGCATGAAAGTGCTTTCTGTGCACAACAATAATAGCAATAATGAAACAAAACCCAACATCACTTACTATGAGAATTTTATGGCGGGGGACACGGGGTGAGAAAAACTAAAGCATAAGGAGTAATAAAAGGTATAACTCAACAGTATGAACAATGATTACAAAATTACACAGCTGATTAATCATGGCGTGTATGTAATTACTAATGAGTTTGATAAAATTTTAATTACACCTTGTTCTTTGGGGCATTCAGCAAGCCATGAAAATAATAATCATGTAGCGCTGTCACACATGACTGCCTCAGATGGGGGAGCAGTGGCGGGTTCAGGGCTGTGCCACGGGGCTGGGATGAGCAACCAGCTGCCCTGGAGCAGTGGGAGATGCTTGGGAGCGGCCAGGCTGGACCAGCAGCCCTGGGCTGGTACAGAAACATCCCCAGCACGTCTGTCTGTGGGTTGAGCCATGCAAAGCCCTCCTCACTGAGCCTCCCCGTGGGAGAAATCTGGCCCACAAGGGCACAAAGGGACAGGACAAGGGGAATGGCTTTAACCTGCCAGAGGGGAGACTGAGATGAGCTCTTGGGCAGAAGCCCCTGCAGGAGACATACCTTGGTTGTCTTCACCTTGTTGCCGCTACTGCAGCTCCAGCCTGAGAGGTCCGGCAGCACCTTACACTCCTCGCCATCGAGGCAGCACGGATCTCCGGGTCCCGCTCCCAGTGCCGAA